AAATCTAATAATTTTTCCCTTTCTTACTTGATTTGGAGGTTCAACCATTGCTTGAGCTCCATCGTAAAAACCAGAAAACTTCATTCTTTGTTTCTCTGTAAGGAATAATTTCAAAATGTATATTTAACAAAATAAGAGGAGGTATATTACTGAAGAAAAGAAGGTAAGACAGATTGGTAATTGGAGGTAATCGGAGGATCTTGGATTACCTCCTGAAGTTTCCTGACCTGGATCTTCCCAAGGGATCCTCCTGAAAAATAGCTCCTGAGGGGGATTTGATGGATTCTTCTTTCCCTCACGATCTTGGATCTCTACAGTGGAGCACTTCAAGTAGGAGAAAGGAAAAAAGATGCAGAATTAATCAACATCACATGACATAAAGTGGATTCCTATATTTAGAACACAACCTCAAAGCCCCCAATATCCATCAGTGTCGTTGAGTGAGAAAACAATGGAATATCTTACAAGAATTGGTGGGACATCACCATATATTATGAACGTCAGAGAAGTTTGGGAAGGAGAGGCAAAATATTCCAATACATTCTGTATTCTCTTTTGAGCTCCCTAAAGTCTCTCACCTGCAACTTGACCTGCTCCTTCTGGTCGCCCCCCTGACTCAGGAGGAAGCCTTCAGCCAGGGCCACCGCCTGGGAACTGGTCTCTGCTCCACACTCCCTCACCCAGGCCTCCATCTCTGGGGGCAGAAGGAACAGGAGCTGCTCCAGAACAGCCAGGTCCAGCATCTGAGCTTTGGTGTGTTTTTCTGGTCTCAGCCATCGCCTACAAAAGTCATGGAGTCGGCTGCAAAGTCCTCGGGGGCCCTCGGTCTCCCAGTATTGAATGAACTTCCAGGGCTGGACTTCTGAAGGGAGGATGGTTTCTTCCTGCCCAGTTCTGGTCCTGGTCTTGCCACCCTTCCCAGGCTGAACAGCTGAAGGGCCTTTTTCGCTTCCCTCTTTTGCAAAAGGTTGTGTCTCCATCCTTTCTCTCTTCTGCAGAGCAACTCTAAATGGGTCCAAGGACTCTTATGGATCTCAGGTGCCTTTTCCTTCAAAGGACCATTTCTGGAGCCGCAAGACAGATCCCTGCAAGTTATTC